CATGCTTGGAGAAACTTAAAAACTCAATGAAGAAAGACTCTAGGCCAGGATTCAACTCCAGGATCTTCTTGCTGCAAGGCAATATCGCTACAAACTGTTCCATCATCCAGCCCTCTGGCACTTTTTTGTAACATATCTGCAAGGACAAACAGGTATAGACAATGGGTGGATCACACTACTAAAAGTTCTTTCCAGTCCATCACAGAGCCATCATAGTCAATAATCAAGCTAACATGCAAGTGTGAGGCTGATAGAAAAAAGGTGAGGAAAAGAAAAGCCTTACATGAACAAAGTGAACGTGCAATCGCCCCTCAGTCGCTCAGATTTGAGCCCAGAACTTTTGTTCTGTTAGAGAACAATGCTAACTATATAACCTTGAGGCTCGGAAAGTACATCATGTAACAAAAAGCTTCCAGGGACTAATTTGCTTCCTGCAGCATGCTTTGCATTAGATCATTTTTTGCAGTATCTAAGTATAAAACTGAAGGATACCCGGACAGGTGACTCAGCGCTTTTGAGAAGCAGAGGTTTCTCCTCGTGAGCATAAAAATTTATACCTTACTTCTTGTCAGTTCTGAATGAAAATGAGTACAGACACATGATTCTGTCATAGAGGAATGAGGGAATGGACATTAAGTCTATGTTGACCTTTGAAACCACCTTCTCCAAAGCTTCATTTCAGTTTTAGATTGATGCCCAAGAATTGTATGCTTTGGAACAAACTTTGATTCCAGGAAGTTGCCTCTGAACAGCACAGCTGAAGGAAGGCTGTTTATGTGGTAATATTTTTATCTTTTAATCATTTTTTTCTGTTGAATTTTAATATCTGAAACAGCTTATTCTTTCTGTTCAATATCAACTAGTATAGACTACATGGAGCAGTAAGCTCATTGTCTACAAAAATACAAATAAAGACAACAAGAGTTTTAGTCCTGGGTCATCACACTGTCCCAGCTGACAGACTAGATTTTACTTGAAAAAAATAATGAGCTCCAACATAGCAACCCTTTGGAAATAGGTTTTTTGCACACCAGGATGTGGTGTTGGTTGAAACTGATGAGTATAATGAGATGTTTTGTGTCTTTGCCTTCCACAGTTTCATTCTGTCCTCGCACTATTTAAAGATCAGCATGACTGACGTCAATAACTTAAGACACAAAGAGTTTCTGAGAATTATGACTGAAATAAATACGCAGGCAAAGGTGATTACATTCTCTGTGTTGTAAAAGGTAAACTCATTTACCTTCTTCAAGGGCGAAAAGCATTTTTTTTTTAACTGTTCCCATTGTCTGTTCACTGCTTCTCTGAAAATGCTGCTGTGAAAAAAAAATGGTGTGAAAAGGAGGTGGCCTTGCTGGCAGAGCATAAGCAGGCTCTGTTGAATGCGTTCGTGCACTTAGGTGTTTAGTCACAACAGATGAGGAGCTGTCCCTCAGAGCACATTCACAAGAGAGACTATAAATGACGGGAAACATTAGCAGAGAGTACAGACCAATACAACTAAAAGCTGCATAAAAAAACAAGCCTTGGGAATGGGATAGGATTTTCTCTTTCAATATAGTGACACCTATTTTTGCTAATCAGCTAATGCTGGTAATATAAATTCTCCCATTCTCATTGACAGTTTAACAAGATCTGTGATCGAACAAATAGCCAAAATCCATTCTCTGATTGGGAAAAAAGTGTAACAGTGTCGGCTGGTGAAATATTGATTTTAGTTGTTCTCAGTCAACTATTTACCAAGAAATAAAGGACAGACGGAAACCAAGATTATGCTTTGTTTAAGCACTAATGTTGGTTTAAAACACAACAAAAACATGAGGAGTAGAGGACTCACTCTCCATGAACAGCCAATATAAACTCAAACAGATATTGATAACCTAAGAAAAGTGATTATCAAGCCCAACTATTGAAAACACAAGAAACCCAGACTGGAATTTATTAAAACCATTGTTGACACACCCCAATTTTTGTGGGATAGTATCCTCTGGACAGCTGATTCAAAAAGGTCAACATCTGGAGCTGTCTCTTTATGACTGGGGTAGTAAGAAGAGTATTCATCTTGCAATGACAAGGTTCTAGGTTTGGTTTTGTTTTCAAGTGTTGGTGCAGTGATGTTCTTTAAATATCAGACTTAACTTTCCACTCTCATTCTGACTATATGACTATGCTTCTTGTTGAAAGCTGAACCTCTGCAACAGTATCAACTGTTTTCCAGCCTCAAATAGGCTTTTCTTTCTGTTAAAGAAAGGTATCCCCGCGGCCATTTTATGTTTAATGCGGTGTCTTCATTATACTGGGCAGTGTAATTTTCTCTGCAGAAATATTATCGTGCAGTCAGACCCATATTTTAATAACTTTTTTGAGGGGGAGCGGGGACTGAGGTAAAATAATCTGAGAACCTTCTTCTGCACGCTTACTATCGTTTTCACAATTTGCCCTCCTACATTTTTTTTTGTAAACTATAAAAGGGACATGCCACGTCTTTCTTACACACCTAATTTTAAAGGTGATTGGTTACATTAGGTCTTATTCAGGTATTTCAGAGTAATGCATGCCACACTTGTATGAATTTTTTTTAAAGCAGTTCATAGTTGTACACTACTTTGTGTTGATTTGTCATATAAAATGCTACAATTTCCACTGGTAATTTTAACAGGGCTATAATGAAAAATCCAAAGGGTTGTAAATACTTTTCAAGGCAGTACACTTCAATTGATTTACATTAATTCCAACTCTCATTAAACGTGGCAATCAATTTAATGAGTTACATCCCCTGGGATCTCATATACAGATTGACCAAATCAGGCTGAATGACATCATAGCTTGTACCTGTGAACATTTTCTTTCTTTGTCCTTGAGAGATGCAACTGGTTATAAATGCCTTTTTTCTTAGCTTTACATTTTGTATCGATTTACATCAACCCAGTGGGAGGTCGTAAAGACAGACACGATGCAAAGGACACCAACAAGAGAAGAAAAGAAACTTAGGCCTAACACTCACGTTGGAGCTTTAGAGACTAATTACTCTGTGTGTGCCACTTAGCAGCATTTTGAAAGCTGGGAGAGCAGCACTAGACATTCAGAGCCTCAGGGTACAGTCTCATTTTGCATTCAGCTGCTTCGGCAAGCCCCCGATGGCAGCAGAGCGCTTTCCAAAGTTTTAAACTGCGATGACATTTACAAAGTAAGGCCTTGGCATATTTGCTCTCACACTTGCAACACGTGATATTTACAAATCCTTGGTGTTTGATTTGTTGGATGCTTGGATACAGTTTATGTTAATTGAGAATGGTCTATTGGGGGATTTACTGAAACTGTTGCCATTACAGTGTCATAATACTAAGGTTATCTGAATGACAGAAACAGTCAATGTGCCTATAAAAAAATGCATGTAAAGAATAGGTAAAAATCATTGGTTATGAAACCTGTCTTGACTTGACTATGAGGGACATCTAGTGGTAGATCATTGTATTTTGATCAGAAAGTCCAACAAACTTTATTGATTTATATCCTGGAGAAAATAACAAAAAAACAATAGTGAAGAAAAAAATCACTATTTGAACAACCTGGTCATTCATTGTATATTCAGATAGTCATCGGCTCAATCTTTGGGAACATAATGTTGCTTAACCAATACTATCAAACCACATTTAATACTATTACTACCACAGGCTTGTAAAATAGTCAGAAGCATCTCTTATTCTATGTCTCTTCTTACCTTGATGTGTCAGTCACTCTGCATTGTTGTAAATCTAAGCTCATCAGACAACATAACCTTCTACCATTGCTCCAATGTCCAGTCTTTATGCTCCTGAGCAAACTGAAGCCTTTTCCCAATTAACCTCTCTGATCAGCGGGTTTCCCAAGGCTATTTAGGCCTAATGCGTTTAAGTTTCCTTGGAATTGTGAATGCAAAACACTCTCACTTTTGCTCATGAACATATCCATGGTGTTGGTTTTTATTTATTTCATCAAAACTTTTAAGTAATTCAAGATTCAAGTCATACAATCATTCATTATTTTTATCTGGCTACACTTCTTTTGCAAAGATGACTCCTCACAAACTTCACAGTTTTTTGTGTTGTGTTGAGTTTCACCTTAGACGTTTAATATTTATTGAAGCATGTTCCTTCTGGAACGGTTTAACATCCTCTCCAGAACAACAAGATTTGCTTTACAACATAGCAGTTTTAGAAAGGAGAAGCCAATCATGATCTGTTAATGCTGAATAACTTGTCACGAGCTGAAATGCGGTTATTAAGTGGAAAACTCTTAGGTGGTGCCTTTAGATATTGTGCAAGGGAAATGTAAATGCACGGCAGACTTTTAAGATTAGTAAAAAAAATGTAGTACTAAAAATCCAGTTGTAAACATGAAAAGGCTTAAAAAGGTTTAACTACTTTTGCAGGGCACCTCATATCCGCCTTTGATGTCTATGTATGTCCAACCTGCCTCAAGGGGGCGCCCGTGGCCCATAGCTTATTTGCTTTCTACTTCTGTGCAGCCTGTCGGATAAGTAAAGCTATATGCAAACAATGGATACAAAAATGTATGGAAAGCAAACAAAAATGTTACAAATGAAGCTAAGGCTAGCAATAATAGATCTACAGCTAAATGTTAAACAGATAATTGAGCAAAATTGTAAGATCAACAAAAGGTGTGGAAAGCAGTGAAAAATATATCTAACGATGGAGTCAAGTGCGTTTCAAGCTTAAATTACGTAAAACATGTCTTCCTTCAAGGATAACACACACAAAAAAAGTTAATGCAAACCTTCCCCCGAAATTTTAAAGTCAAATGGGTTTCTTACAAAATTAAGAAGCATTTTTCTGTTAAAAGTTAAAATGTGAAATGACTCTCTGGCAATAAATAATCGTTATGAAGCTTCATAAGTTTCTTTCAAAAACAGTTAAGGGTTAAAATAGGCTAATAATACCTCCCTCCACAGGTCTCCTCCCCTTCAGTGAACTAACCACCTACAACAAGTTTGACAGCTCAGCCTTTTAGTACCGAGCAGCAGCGGCAGCGACAGAAAAATTGCACTTTCTTCCACTGAACACGAGTTGTGTCTTATTTTCGTGGCTATGTGTGCGTCTATGGCTATGAGGGATTTTATACATCCGTAGGTTTCGGTCACTTCTCCCCCGGGGATTCCTTCTTTCCTTTTTTTTTTTTTTTTTGGCTCGCGTTGGTGTAGCGTCTGAGAAATAAATTCGAGAAAAACAACAAAAAACTGCTTTTTTTCATCTATCCGGGCGTCGAGAGGAGGATAAAGATGTCGAACAAGGTGGACGAGGCGAACAGGCTCACCGAAAGTACATACAAGGTAGGTAGGTGTATGGCTGCTGGTTTAGATGGGAAGCTGGGAAGACAACAGGTGCGACCAGGGGGGAAGAAAATTCCTCCATACTTAAACAGACATGGAGCACAGCAAAGCTGAACAGGTGTTAACTAATTAAAGCGTATTGCTCATTTTAAAAGCAACGTTTCATAAATTTGACATGGAAAGAGGTTATCCCCCCTCCAAAGAGTTTTCCAACAGGTTTTGCCTGAGTTCAGGGAGCTGTTTTTTTGGAGAGTTGAATCACTGGTTTTGAGGAACTAGCTCCACCCCGACTGTGTCTTTTCCATAGAAAATAGTTTCTTTTAAATTATCACCCTTATTCCAGCTAACATGTGGCTCTGACAATTAATTAAATTTTGATCCATATGTAACTTGTTTGGGTGGACTCATCTAAATACATTGGCGTGTAATTGAAAACATAATTGAAGTTATCCAAAGGAATTATTTTGTTTGAAATAAAGGTAAATTGGTTTCTTCAAAAACGTGTAACACAAACAAAGCTGTTTTAGAGTGTAATGCTATTACAAAAAACGTACTCATCAAAGTGTAATGTTACATGATACCCACCAAACAAATTTGAAAAAAAAAAAACATTGTTTGCTCATCAGCTAGCACAAAAAGCATCACAACCTATTCTTAACAATTTAATGGAAAATTTAGTGAAAGGAAAAAGTGTGGCAGAAAAAAAAGTTGAGGAAGCTATAGGATTATGCAGCAAAGACCATACAAGATGTTCGGGGAGTTTCCTGAGGTGTGAGCTGTGGTTGGGATAAATGCTTTATCAGCCGCCACACACAGAAGTATATGTAGGCCATGATCTACAGAAGTCATTAAAAATTGTCTAACAAATTCATGTCTTATGAGTTTCACTGTGAGAATTAAATTATTGAAATAAACAAACGTTTCAGTTATTGTTTTAATTAATTGGGATCGGAAGTTTAACACAGAACATCTTGACTACAAATGAGGCCTAAATGTGTTGCTTAATTTAAGCAGATTCCCTTGATATTAGGTCGAGAAAAGAGCTTCATAAAGTGGCCAACTTGCCACTATGCATTTTGTAAGCCCAACCGGGTCCCATACTGTGAGCAAAACCCACACACACATGTTGACTGGGGATTTACAGTGTAACCATTAAGCTTGAGGGTTTTATGTAAAATTATTAATATATTTTCTTTAAAGATTGTTACTTCATCCATTTTTTTTTATTTTTAAAAGGTTTTAAAATAATAATATTTAATAAAGGTACCAGATTGGCACCCAAAAAAAGAAAAAACAGTTCTTGCACTCTGCAGGCGACTCTCCACAGGTAGCCAAGTGAAGGACTATAAAGAGCTGGAGTGAGGGGGAAAAAGCAGACTCAAGGCTTTTCTCATAAGACTTTAGTCCTTTTGAACAGTTTTTATTTGCCTGGCCTCTTGTTAGGACAGCCCCCGCAGCTCATTGAAGTGGTGAAATACAGGGGAAAGACTCCAGGTTTAATAATTTAGGTGCCTGCGTGTTTTGTGTGGTAAGATTATACAGCAAGCTCCTCAGCACCCATCGCCTCTTGTTCACAGTTATGGTAACAAAGTGCTCATAACAGATATTGAAATTATATGGTTTTGCTAGGAAATTTATTGAAGGTTTACATATTTCACAACATGTCAAAGTTTCTCAGAGTAACAGCTTATCTTTCAATTAATTGATGTTAGAAATGTAAAAGCACAATTATGTCAAACTCATGAATTATATTGTGGCTTGTATAATCCCTCACATTTTTCATAATCTGAGTGATGCATCTTTATCTTAAATGTAGTTTCCTGACTTTTAAGGCGTGAATTGGAATTGGGTGACTATTATATGACTCATGAAACATTGATTGCAGTGGGAGACTTGCTGCACTTAACTGAGGTTTGATCATTTGTAAACATGGCTTTACATGCTAAAACATGTTGAACTAGCATTTTGTTTAAGGTGGGTGCCTTAAGATAATATTTATTGGTGCTATAGCGGTAAATTGAACTGAAATAAATGTCAAATGACTATTTTAACACAAAATACTTGCGTGCTATGGGACCCTGTTCACTAGTAGTGTGCAAATCTGTTTAACATCCATCCACTCATAACTACATTCATAGAACAGCACATTGATTCATGCACAAACAAGTACATCAATTTGGGCTGCACGCCATCAAGGAAATAGCTAATTGTGATTAATAATGCGTTGGTGATAATAATTACGATTGACCCACAGTTTTCTCCTGGCTCTTTACTCGTTTCTCTTCGTTATAACGCCTCCACCACTCAGTGAGGTATAGGAACTCGCTGTTGATTGTATGGATCTAGTTTTGGCATTAAGAGCAAGGAATGTCATTTAAACAAGACATTTACATTGTTGTTATGTTTCATTTGCTTTTCAAATATAATAACCTACCAAATATTGCATCCAGTTAGTTCTACATGATTGAAGAATTCCTCCTATTGATATTGCAATAATAACTCAAATCTATAGATCAGTACATCCATCTACAAGTCTGTCCATCCTTCCAGTCATCCTGCTATATATCTCCACCCATTCATTAATTAATTCATTTAGCCATTCATTCATACAGCCATCTGTCTTTTCAAACTTTGCTAAAAACCAGTTAATCCTTTGGTCATGTTAAGTGACTTTTTAATTGAACATATATATAGTTTGCAATGTAATTAGATACGACAATCATTATTAAGTGTCAAGATAAGGAGACACCTAATCTGGCCAGTGGAACAAGTTGGGCTGATCCAGACATGATTACTTTGCTGCGTCTGGACCAAAAAAAAATTGCAAGATACAAGATATTGAACTGCCTTGCCAAATAAAAACCTGGATCTGCATGTGAACACTCATTTTTTGCATGAGCTTCTTAACTTCCATCTTCTGTTGCTCATGATTAAACCTGACGCTTTATTTCTTATGGTCACTGTCTTCTTGCAGAATGTGATGGATCAGTTCAACCCAGGCCTTAGGAACCTGGTAAACCTAGGAAAGAGCTATGAGAAGTCTGTTAATGGTGAGTAGTAGTTGTTGTTGTTGTTGTTGTTTTACTGCATTTTCAGGTACACTGATAAATTATTGGGGATTTGATTTAAAAACATACTACACATCTACATCTCTTCTGTGGCCTTCAATCACAAACATTTTTATCATTTCCCCAGCTATGTCCATGGCAGGAAAGATGTATTTTGAGGCACTGTCTAAGATTGGAGAGAATGCTGCTGGATCTCCCGTCTCCAAAGATTTGGGTAAGTTTCTATGTTGCTCTCCTCTGGGATTAACAGAGAATGATCTTCACTGTGTAAAGATTTTTCCTATCTATATCTCTCTCTATCTCCATCTGTCTCTGACTCATTTTATTGCAGTTCTTTTAAGGATCTTTTGAAATCCTTAACAGGCAAAATTTGATTTTGAATATTTTTTTTTGTCAAAAAGAGGGATGATGGAAAGTTTAAAACCACAGCCTCAAATAAGGAGACATGCATAGTTCAAGCATTTCCAGTAGATTTGTTGCAACAGTGCTTCAAATTGCGGACTTGACTAGATGGATAGCCTTGAACTTACACTTTTTTGTAAATGTCCTTTGCCATCGAGCACAAAACATGTTCAATGATTAACTGGAGCATTTTCTTGTTGAAATACCCAGTGATCACTGCACAGAGGGGCACCTGCAGTCTGCCTGCTGCAACACCTCTACATATCCAGTTGCATTTTGACAACCCTACACAAACCAGACTTGGTTATTTCATCAAGATAAAATTTCCTGCACTCTGACTAAAACTTATTCAGTCGGATCATCTTGTCATACATGAAATGCTGGAAGGCTAAAGAAAAAGTCAAGGTTGTTGTTTTGGTTTTTTTGTTTCGTTTTGTTTTGTTTTTTCCTCACCAGAGAATACAGCTTTCTTTCAATGTTGATGTGCAAATTTGGACGTTTAAATTTTTCTGTCAGAAAAATTTAAACGTAAAAATGTGACGCTATATAGCTGTGCATTGATGGTGATGTTTATAATATTTGAGAACTGTGGAAATATTAATTAGTGAGACCATCCTGTTTTCTTATGTTATCAGTCCAAATTTGCACATTTGTGGAGTGGAAAGAGGTGTGGCCTTTGTGGCCAGCATGATTATAATCCTTAAATTTGGGTTCCGATTTGCCTGTGTTTTCACCAACAACTTTCTGGATACTCTGGATTTTGCGTCAGGCGGCCATATTGGCAAAAACAAGAAGAACATTTTTAAGTTTGCAATTGAGAAGAAAATAAATCCATAGATGCTTATGTTTGCCTGGTGTTAAAAATGTATGAGATTACCATGTCATTGTGCAGAGTCATTCTGCTGCTCACAGACCCCTTTGATTGTTGTGAAGGGGAGTAAAGCGTCTCCCATCCTCCATTAGCTTCTTTGCTTGGGTTGCAGAAGTAAACCTAAGCAGCGAACACACAATGTTGGAGACGTGGCACACACACACCACCTGGAAGCCTTTCGGTTAATTAAAGTCAGGCTTCTAAGTGTGTGCAGGGAAAATGTGTTCAAGGTGTTCATACTGTTTAAATGTGTTCCACTTTATAGGCACCATATTATTCATAAAATTGTGCTATTTTATTAGTGAAAACTTGTCATACTGTTTTGAAACTCTTGCTTTGAACATTTTTGGCTAAGAGGTTGGCAAATATTTAAAGTATTTTTATTAATTTGTTGTATATTTCAGGTCTTGTGTGTGTTAGATTTTACAGTTTTCTATAGTAAAAGGAATAGTATTATTCAAAAGCTTGGACAAAGCTGCACTACAATGAAAGCACAGGATGAGTGATGCTTAATATTTAAATTTATGACTGAGTGTGAAAGGTTTATGAGTAAACAGAGTTTGTTTAGTCTTCAGTTTGTTCCCGGTCAAATTCCCAAGCTTCACCTTACCCCTGGCTAATATGCAGCCAGACACAGCTGGGATCCTAACTCACTGTCACTAGTGACACACTTTGATTTAGCCACTGTATGCCTCTCCTGTCTCCTGTGGTTTTGGAGCTAAACTGCTAATTGAATTCTGCAGCACATTGGGAAGAGCCACCTGTTGCTGTGCTGTTTCCTGGCATAGAAAAAAGATCTTTATACTGCTACTTGGTCTGTAGACTACTTTTTTTTCTGAATAGTTGCAGTTCTTGCTAGCTGTATTTATGCTTCAGTATGGTTATAATTTCTTTCATTTGCCAGATTCTGTCTTGGGAAGAACAGAAACATTTATTAATTCAGTACAAAAAAAGTTAACATGAATCCAAAAACAACTCATTAAAGCACAAATGGTTAAAATATTGCCATCAAAAGTGGGTGGATGTAGTTGGAAGCATTTTAACTCTGGTTTAAAGATGGTTGATGTGGTTTTATATTTGGATGTTTATTGAAAACTACCTGTGCATTGATTGGCATCAGCTGCTGAATTTTTATTTGAATTGTCTGCAACTTCTCATCAATTGTTGCCTCCAGCATTTTTAGAATTGGTTAATGTGTCACTCTGCCAAACTTGGCTTAATGTTGAACAAGAATGGCAGTGACAGCTGCAGTCCAAGATGGTGGAGGGTTACCGGCGAGCTGTTTTCTTCAGTTTGTCATTTCTCAGAAAGTGCAAGCGTGTGTGTGTGCCTTACTTCTCAGCTTTAGCGTAAATCCTTCCAGTGGATTTACATTAGAATTGTATGCATATATTAATTTAGAACTTGCTATTGAGAAGTGCTGAAATTATTTCTCTTTAATGTCTTGAATAGCGATTGTTTGTGATTGAAGGAACGTAAACTGCTCATTATTCATAAATAAATAACAAAAACAAGTTTTATTTAGTAATGAGATGTTCAGATAAGCAGCTTTACTTTTTATATTTTACATTTAAAAAATTATCATATGTATCATCAACACACGGTCGGCTTATTAATAACATTTGAAGGGTTGAAGTCACGTTTTATCTGTGGATAAACTCCAGGACCACAAAGAGACTGTTACTGTTCTTCCATAATGGATCATTTCTGTCTGTCATTATTTTTGGATTATTTAGGAAGGTGGTGAATAAACAGAGTTGAATATCATCTAATGATTGCTGACTAAAAACCAGTGAGCAATCAACCATTGTGAGGTGGATGTGACGTCGTCAAACTCCTAAGAACAGGAATGTATGTAAATAAGAACATTGTCATTAGGAACTTGCTCATGGATGTAGAGCAGCTGCCCTGTCAGAAACCCGAGCTCCACTGACACATCGCCAGAAACCAGATACTCTTGAAAGAAATTGCAGGACCTCTGCACCTTATCTTGCTACCTTCTTCCTTACAGTCTACCCCTGATTCTTGTCATACCCAACATTTACATAATCGTCTGACCTCTCGTAGAGCAGCAGGAAGTTGTTTAGGTTCATGTAGAAATTAATTGGGATTCGGTTGTAGTTCTTTGGCAACCAACTCAGTTTTCAACTGTTCATAACTTACTAAATTCAGTAGATGTTAGGTTGTTTTTTATTTAGTTACAAATAAATTGGATCGTCTTTTAATTCGACTGGATACCTTGTGCTCTTTGAAGGCTAACTACTTCTGTCAAAACCCAATTCAAAGTTTAAAGCAAACTTTGGTTTGCTTAAACAATGAATTGATTAAGCTTTTTAATGTCTTGCAGTTTTTACAAAATCACAATTTTGGTTTACTAAATTTTTTAGTTAAATGCTGCGTTCTTGTTATCCATGCAAAGCTAACATTATCCACACAGCTGCTCAGTTGTATTCCAAGGTTTACAAGCAAATCTTTCATCCTGCTGCAGCTCTAACAGCTTTCTATCAAAATGTTCGAACAATTTTGAAATTAAACCTAGATCGACTTCCTGCTTCACTTGAGTTTTTTTATTTATTTTTAAAATCAGTTTTCAGCTCACTGCTTCACCTTATTACATAAAACTGTCATAAGATTCTCAATCAGTAAAACCACATGATGCCCAATGTTTAACTAGTACCTGATGCATTTTTGCATAGTCCTAACACGCCATGTTTACATGGCGTGCCATGTGACTCTCACTGATACGAGGATTATTTTGTCGACGGTCAAAAACAGTAGAAGAACAGTTTCCCTTTTTGCATTCCACTGGCCAAACGTCATGAAAATCAGTTGAAAGAAAGGAGGGAATTTATTTATAACCAAGGATACTTGTTATTGTTGTTTTTACCTTTTAGAGTGTTGTTTGGATTTTTGTCTACGGTGCTGTTTGCACACATTGGTAGCCTTGGTAAAGGTGTGTCTAAAGCATTAGACTAATCCTACATTACAGTAGCATAATGTGGCTTAAGTAGGAAAAAGTTGCATTTCGGTGACTGAAAATGGAGAGCCCTGCTTAAGATTTCTGTTTTATTTTTTGTTATGATTCTGTGTTTGGAAGTGAAACAGGACCACTTCTTCACAGATTCAGATTTTATGTTTCATCACCCATACATACAAAACATGGACGGATGGACGGACATTCTTCCTTGCTGCCCTCCTCATCTTGTTTTAAACTTTCCAGTTACTACACTGTAGATGTGAACAGAGTTTTCTTGCATCAGTTTCCTGAAATAGGATTATCGCCACACATCTGTCTTACTTGAATTACTTGTTCCCTTGTATCTTCCTTCATCTGTTCCCCATGGAAACAGAAACTAAAGATTAATTTGAAGGTAAAATGTGCCAGTTACATTTATCTTGTAGTCATTTTGATCAGTTTTTAAAAATGGGGCCTTGTTGGTTTAACTAAAAACGATGATCTCATACGGAAATATTTTCTTTCCAAGAGGAAGAATTATTAATTTGTGACGCATTTGGGATTTTTTATTCTATTGAACAAACAACCTGTTCACTTCATTTATGAGAAACTAGATTTTTATCAAACTGCTCCACAAAGTCAAGCCCCAATTTTACAGCCTGGGCAAACAAGCCTTCAGGAAACCCGTGGGTTTGTCACTTTCTGTATTTTCCAGTGTTTTTGTTAACTAATGGTGGTGGGTTGCTTTTTGGCGCTTTGTCATCATGACACTTTTCGCCTTCACAAACTCGCTGATTTGAGCACACCTGTTTCCTGGCAACGTTTGTTGCCGATCATGACAACAGCAAACAAATGAGTGGAGCTCTCTGGAATGAGACTGTCAGTGTCAGTGACGTTGCTGAAACCACAACATTTTTCTACGCTGTGAGCAATTTTAAACATCTGACGACACATCTCTGCTTAGATTTACAGCTCATCACTTTGACAACAGACTCTTGTGCTGTGCATAAAAATCAGATTGTCTGGTATTTGACTCAAAACCTCACCTGCTCACATTTTTTGGATAATTTTAATGTCAGGTGTATTCAGACGTTAGCAGTGATTTATTGCTGGTTTTGCTTTTAATCCATCAGAATCTGTCATGTGGTATTGACGTTTCCTGTTGTTTTCTAACATTTGTCTCACCTCATTTCCTAACAATTTCCATTCTCATTACATACACTGCATTAACACTCTTTTTGCTTCCTTTCTTACACTTCCCTAACATCTTAACACAGCCTTTGTATTCCTGTCAGCTCCTGTTCTTTTAAAATCTTTTTTTTTTCTACCAGACTGAACTTTGACAGCCAATCCCACCATCAGGGAGGGTGAGCGGGGTAGGTGTGGTTTGACAGCTAAAGGAAGTGCACTGTTTACATACTGATGCATGTACAGCTCATGGTGATCTGTTCACCTGGCAGCAAATACAATGGCTGTCAAGGATTGTGCATTTGTTTCTGGGTTTTCTGTTATTTTCTTTACAGTTAAAATGTATTTCTTCTTAGAGCTTTCAGTCTCTTTCTCAAAGGTTTTTTAAAAATGTCTTCCAAGGTATTGCACCATGTTTATAGAGTCTATGTACTGTAGCTGAACTATACAGTCAGGAAAATGTTCTGTTCATTTTTGAAAATTTTAATTAAAAAAAAAATTCCCCCAAAAAGTGTGAGTTTCAGACTCTGTAACATATTAAATTATATAAAAGTAGTTTTTTTCAAACTCATTGATATTTCACCTTTTTTTTGTGCCTTTTTAGTCAATTTGTCTCTAGATTGTAAACATGACAGAAGATGCACCAAGTATGTTAATCTTAGAAGTCAAACTAGGCTTGTAGTAGATTTAATCTACTATAAACTAGTCCAGATTTTTTAAAATAAATTTGGAATGGATTGTAAAAGTGAAATACATGTTTCTAGATTTTCCAAAAATAGAGAAATGATCATTTTGTTCACTGTCAATCAAAAACTATAGCTTCAGCACTGTGTTTCATTGTTTTCTCATCAGAGTCACATTAAACTTTTATTATATCTGCTGCTGCTGTTACATTTGAATTTGGCTTTGGTGGGACAGTAAAAGCTGTTTCTATTGTAATATATTCTGTTTTTTTGACAAATTTTTCCCCAACAATCTACAGAGGCCTCTGCAAAAAAATAAATAAATAAAATACAAAAATTTAATTTTACACAGATCAACCTTTTCAAATAGAATTGATCACCATAGATTTTATTTGGTGGTACACAAGTAAATTTTAAAATAATCTGTGCCTCTGTTTTGGGGTGTTTTTATATAAATAGTGCTAAAATTAACACATTTTTTAAACATTCGTACACTTGCTTTGGTCTGTTGTGTAAAATCCCTCAGTTAAATTGCCATTTGTGGTTATCACAAGAAAAATGAAAATGTCTTTGTGTGGAAACTTTAGTACAGCATTGTATTTAAATCTTTTGGAAAAGCGTGAACCAAATAGTCTTGTGGTAGTTATAAATCTTGTTCGATTTCCTTAAAGGCATAAAGAAATTATCCCCTGACTGTAACTGACATTTAGCTTATTTTCACCAAAAGTAAGACAAACTACAGTTTTCTGGTCTACAAGGATTATATGCTTTGGTTTTATTGATTCACTATTCTTCTTGTAATGCATACAGCAATCCCTTGCTGTGCAAAAACAGCTACACTCATGACTCTTGGATAAAGACTTTCTAAATCTATCAGCCATATTTCCAAGAATCAAAGCAGCCTGACTGCAGGAGGGCTGCCTTGAACTACTCAAGTTGTTCATTGTTTAAAGTTGTCCAGGTTCTCTTACAAAAAGCATCATCAAAAAAAGTGTTAAAGTCAACAAACATATAATTTTAAACATTTTTTTAGACTGCAAAATTTAAGTGATATTACATTTTGTAAACAGTTGCAAGGTCAATGTCAGTCTGTTCATTCAGTTTGTATTTTTAATGTTATTTAGTCAAAAAGCTGTTTGTTCTCTATTTTCAGATTAGGAATTTGGTGTGTTCAAATTGATTCTTCTCATAATCCTAATTTAGTTGGTTTGAATTCTCACTTGCAACAACAAAAGGTGATAATTTGCTGGTGCTTTTTAAATTAAATCTGTTTTGGATTACTTTACCAGCAGGTGGTTGAGTTTTTCTGGTTGAGGTGAATATATACCTTTCCTCTGATGTCATACATAATGAGCCCTTACACCTTTGGGCTCATTGGTATAAGATTTTTTTACAACTACAAGTTACTCATTTCACTTTGGTGCATAACAGTACGTTCTGTAAATTGTTGTCATTGTACAGTAAGATTAAAGACGTTTTAGGTTGTAAAGCAGGAAGGACTGAATAAAAAAAAACAAACAGGAAAATTGAGTTTCCTGACATTAACCTGAGTATTTATTTTCATCTGGCAGGTGCAGTGCTGGTGGAAATCTCCGAGGTGCACAGGAAGGCTCATCTTGAGATGGAGGAAAATGTAAGTTCCACAGATGTTTCTAGAGATTACCTGTTTAAATAGCTGCTGTTTGATCCCTTTGTGATTGTGTTACCTAATCCTAATGCATTTTGTCAGGCACACTCGCTCTGTAAACCTGTTGCTTGGTATATTTCCACAGCTACATGCTGTTTCTGACGCATTCAACCGGTAGTTCTTTCTTCTACACCCATAAATAGAAAACACCTCGCCTCCTTCCCCACCTACATGTACAGTAGCCGAACGGGCAGCTGAAATGTAAAGTGATTTAACGACGAGGAGAGCTGTTTTGTTTTGTTTTGTTTTTTCTTTTGAGTATAAGGGCAAGTCTAAACAAGCTCTGGAAAACATCAGCTGTAGCTGTTGCATTGAGATTCATTAAGCTTGCATCTGCACATGCCGTGCTTCCTACTGACATATCCAAATGTGTCATGGCTGATTCACCCACTGGTGTTTTTCCGTAAGTTTGTCATTGTAATTCAGCTTGCTTGGACCTACTAACATAAATATTCATTTAGCATTCGTCCATCTGAATGCTTTCTGTGCTTTCTAATAAAAGAATTGTACAAAATACAAAATAATGGGGATGAGTGCTGTAAGAAAAAATTATTTATTAATCTTTTGACTGAATTATGTTTTCATTATCTGTCAGCTATAATTATTAAAATGATAATACATGCCATATATATATCTTCTTCACTCTATACATTGAGTTACAGTAACAAAACATTCTGACTATATTAAAATATATATTTTTTTATGTGAATCTGTGTTCATTTGAGTCGAAGTAATGTGTTACTTCAGATTTTAGTCGGTAACGTCTCCTGACTGTGTCACTATAGGGGAAGACCGTCAGGAGAATTTAAACGTAAAAATGTGACGCTATATAGCTGTGCATTGATGGTGATGTTTATAATATTTGAGAACTGTGGAAATATTAATTAGTGAGACCATCTTGTTTTCTTATGTTGTCAAGTGACAGTTTTTACTTTAAGAAATAAACTGCACCAGTTTGAGTGTATCTCATTAAAAATGAACTTCAGGGCAGAAAAGATGTGATGCAGTCCTCTGAGACTGTGTTACTAGAACCTGTGGGTGGGTTTTCTTCTTAATAATCTCCAGCTTGCGAGTTAAAGCCTCAATTTAACTTGGAGAAAACCTTCTTGGTGCTTTGATGCTGCATGTTATACATATAATGTTTCCCCGGGAGCTGTCGCTGCATCGCAACAAGGCCTCGATGAATGCATTGACACCTGCAGATAAATGAGAGCTGCAGAGAAGGGGAGGATGTCATGGAGAACTTTGGGCATTCCCACGCTTTGTTTCTGACTCATTCATAAGCACAACCTTGGACTTGGCTCTCACCCCCTCAGACACTCACCAATCCACTCCATAATGATCACTTTCCATTTTTCTCAGAGATTGACTGCACTTTCTGTTGTTGTTGTTGACAGCAAAGTTGAAAAGTCAGTCCTTCACGCTTCTGTCAGCTTAATGATCAGTTTTCTTTTTTTGTCCCCCCTCCTCTTCACCTGAAGTTTAAGAGGTTCCACAGGGAGGTAATAGCAGAGCTGGAGAGGAAGACTGAGATGGATGTCAAATACATGACAGTAAGTAGTTTCTGTGTATATTTGCAAATCATAATGTGGATGCAGCTTCCTGCCTTCTTGCAACCTAACACACTTTTATGTAAAAGTATATTATTGTGATTTGCATAGTGACAAAATGGAGGGTAGACAAACATAATGTAATGGGGGGGAATTTAAAATTTCTGATAATGGAGATCAAGGACAGGATGAGCAGCTAAAGAGGATTAATAAATGATGTGAGGGTTTTAGTCGCCACCATAATCTGATCACATGTAGCAATGCCTAGTTATAATTATGACTGCAGGGAGGGTAATTAATTCAAAGTGGGTTATCTCAGGCACACAACACAAAGGACAAATGAGATTCCAGTTATCCAGCAGCAAAACAAGTCCTGTCTGTCTAACATATTTGAAGCCAGTTAATAAGAACAAGGAGCAAACATTAACACAACATCAAAATGTCAATGTTTTGTTGAAAATAAAAACTGTAAACCTCAGTGAAAGCAAAGAGTAATGAAATCAATAAACTGATGTGACCTGGTTAATTAGTCAGGTTATTTTTGCTTGGCAGCAGAGCTGCAATAAGCTGTTTATTCTCACTAACTCTTATAAAGTCTGTTTAAAAAAAAGTTTGGGGAAGCACTATGTTGAAATTGTGACTTTTTAAAATCATAGGAAAATACTTTTTGAAACAAGTCTTTCAAGTGTTTGGTAAAAATCAGAAATCTGCCAAAAATGCATACATTGTTTTGTAATATTTTATATTTTTTCTTGGAAGCTCGTCTTGACTAAGTTCTACTGTGACATTGGGGATCTTATGTTGCCTAGGTTTATGTTTATTACTAGACATGCTAGCCGTTGTTGTTAGCTTCAAACTTTTCTTTCAACTCACTGTCATGGCTTGGACATTTATCTGCTGATCTTAACTTACTTGCAAGAATAGGTGGGAAAGGGGACACTATTCAAAATTTTACACAAATAGAGAAAATCCTGGACTTTTTATAAAGTTATTTGAACCGTCAGAAAGCTTTGAAGCTACATTTTTTGTGATTTTTACGTCTGGAGTTTTTAATATTCAGGTCTACCTTAATACTGGCCAGTGTTTTGCTAAATAAAAGCAAGTTTTTGGAAAAAAATAAAACAACAACAATGACCATTTATAAACTGGGAAACAAATTTGGACTGGAAGTTGGTCACTGTATGCAGTGTGTATAACAAAGTCAAACTGTAATGCTTTGTAACACTTAATCTTGTTTACCTGGAAGTAGGCCTGGGAGAATATAGTCTGACTTTGGGAGGTCAACAAGGAGGATGCTAATTTAATTAACTATATGGGTTAGTCGACTCAGGAGCAAGTTTCCAGCAGGCGAGTTATTCTCCCAATAGACATGCTGGTAGTTTGTTGCAAATAAAAATGGTGTTACTTTAAAGAAGCAACAGTTGTGGAGATTTTGTGGAGAACAGAATTCAACTCCTGTTTCAGCATGGAGAAAACTTTTTTGAATTCGCAATTATCCCATTATTATTATGTGGGTTTGAGCTGATTTATAGAGCAAAGCTTTGTGTTGCTGTAATTTTTAAAGATACTAATACAATTTAAAAGTAGATCATTACAGAAGAATCAGTCTCCTTTCCTTTAACCGACTTATACAAAAATGGTATTCAGGATTTGTTCTGATTTGCGCCGCAAAGGTTTTTCTTTTTACAACCAGACTTTTTAAGGGTTTTAAAATATTAAAGGTCATCTAGAGGTTTTAGCCCTTCATGGAGATTAACAAATTTGAATGTGTTTGATATATTCTAAATTATGGTGGCACAAGTAAAGCGTTTTGCTGCAGAGCATAAATCATTAATGCCGTTTTTGTTTGAGTTGGGGAATGTGAAGGAGTCTGGATCACCTTTGAAAACCTACCCTTTAAACTTTAATGAATATTTTTGAAGTGATAGTGGCACAAAGAGAAATCTTTGTAGACAAATGTTTAACTTGCTTGAATTGGAGAATCTGGCAGGGGCTCTAATTCACTCAGGTAAAGGAGTCTGAAAACTCAAAGTAACATGTGGGGAAAGGAACCAGAAAATATCACCATCTCTTGCATTTCATTCAAAGTAATATTAAGTATATGAATGGAACAACATGCTACTTTAGAGGTCTAAAAGTTTTGACTTTATAGGGTTAAGATTGGCCCATGTCTATTTAGATTTTTTTTTTTACATTTTTGTGTGACACATATCACTAGTTTCCTGTTCCAGCGTTTACATGACTAATTTCTCTGGTTTAGGCCACATTCAAAAGGTACCAGATGGAGCACAAGATGAAGCAGGATTCTTTGGAGAAGTCCCAGGCGGATCTGAAAAAGCTGAGGAGGAAGAGCCAAGGCAAGAACGCCAACAAATACGAAAGCAAGGAAAGCGAGGTGAGATGGACACAAAAACTCCCACAGTCATGTGACACATGGTGTGTCTTTAAAGCCCCCACACATAGAGTTATGTTCATATTATGTCAACATACAGAGATTACCTGAAGGTAGTCTCTGCTCAGCAAACTTTGAAATCTGAGCTGCACACTGTCAGAGCTGGACTAACAGTAGTGTATATGGTGTTGGATCTGTGCAGTCAGGCATGAAAATATCACTGTTTACTATTGAACTATTTTTTTTCTGCCCAATTTTCTTTCCATATGCTTTATCTCTTCAGATAGCTTCATGGGCTTGACTAACGGCAACAAACCAAATCGTTTGCTTGTCTGGGGATTATGAGCTTGTATTTGTGCACACCTAAGAAAAGATAAAAGTAATCCAGAATAGAATAATTGGAACTACGTACAATAATACTAGTATTTGACATACTAACTTACAAATATTTATTTACTACTTGCATGTAGCACAAAACAGATTAGTTTGTGTTTTGTCCCCAGAATGACGATGTATTAGATCCAGTTTGGGAAAGAATATTTTCTGGTTGTATCATTATTACTGTTAGTGTTTCACCTCATTCTAGTCATTCTCTGTGGCATGTTAAATCATTATTTCAGGTTGTCTTAACATTGTGCTGCCACACCCTCTCCGTTGCTCTGCCGAATGAGAAGTTTCATTTCAAAGCCGGTTCTCCGACGGCAGGGCAGCGTCGAAATCCTACATAACCTGCTTTCCATTGATCTTGTCATGCAGCCTGTTTGCCTTTTTTTTTTTGTGAATGTAACTTTTTGTGTACTTAAGGGGGTTTGTGTATTCAATGAGCACAGTTCACCCTACCTCATGCTCGCACAGGGACGGGCTCAGCTGTTTAGTTCAATGTTTGTGAAGTATAAGACCCACAGTGTGCTAAATGTTATTTAGGTCGCAGAAGTTGTGAATATTTAAGAAATAGTTTAAGTAATTTTTTTTAGATTTTTAAATGTATATTTCAGTTCAAGAGTTGCAGCCTTTACCTATTTCTTTCATCTAATAATTTTTTTTTCAAGCCAACTTCATTCAGAAAATATGAGGAAGGCTCCGCCTCTTGCCTTTTGATTACTACTTTGACATTTATGTACATTGTTCTGTTTGCCTGTCCTTCTTCTCTCATCCTGTTTTCTTTCATCTCCTCCCTTGAGCGTCTTTCTGTTTTGTTTTCACCTCCCCACCAGGACGTGAGTGAGTTTGTTTCCTCGCTGCTGTTTTCACCTGTTTGATATAAAGCCAGTTTGTTGGATTTTGGTGACTCAGCAAGACGCTCCCCGATGGGCAAGAAGACAGGCAGACAGGACGTCAGAGCTGTAAAACTTTACTGGATGATTCACATGACATTAAAAAGTCTTCAAAGTGAGCAATCAGACAGAAGACACGGGGAACTAGAAAAGTAAAGAGGGAAGAAAAAACATAAAAAAGATGAAAGAAGTCCTTTCCAAAATAGCTGAGGTTTATGCGGTAGTAAAAATTTAAACCGATTGAGACAGGTATTGCAATCTGTCAAAGTAACGTCAGAAGAGAGTTTTTCTTTTTAGGGAGTTTGTTTTTCTTATACATTATTTTTTATATTTACTCAAGTAATTCACATGAAGTATATCATACATTAATTTAATAGAAAATGAGGGACCCACTTACAGTTCTTCATACTGTTCGTAGCAGTGAAGAACCTTTCAAATTTGTGCAGTCACCTTTACCAAATTCTTAGATTATTGGAATTTAAACTTGAAAGCACAAAAACACACATCTAATTAGAATCTCCTTGGCAACAATAAGTTAGTGTCTTCATCTCTCTTTCACTCTGTGGAGGAATTTGGTTAAATCTTTTACAGTATCATGAGTCAAATGAGGTTGCAGTCATTTGTTTTTTTGCACTGCTCTCTTGAAATCCAGTTTCAATCAGATTGAGATCTTATTCTAAATTATGTTCCTCCTCAGACATTTCTTTAGAAAAATAGATATATGACAAATGATGACAGTGTTGAACCTGATCACCCATATTTCTTATGAAAGTTCATGGGATTTTCATTCTTCATTGTTGAGAATAATTAATAAAAAATAATTAAAAAAATACTTGGGTATATTTTAATTACCTAAGAATGAGGGCAATCAAAACATCACAACATTGTCTGTCCATCTTTTCTGTGCAACGTGCAATTATAAAAGTGATCTGAAGACAACTGTGGCTTCAAATGCAAAATCAAGGTCTGTGCTGTTCTTATAATAGTCTTATTTGTAAAGATTTGTGTGTTTGCTGCAGATATTTGCTTCTGTTTGTTTGCTGACTTGTTGCCACAATCAGAGGCCTGTTCTCTGTGTTGGCTAGCGAAAGAGCTGCTGGGAGATCTGAATAGGTTGGTTCATGCAGTTACTGGACACACAGATATTTGGTGGAAAAGGAAGATATGATCAAAGATGACATCTCCTAGCTCTAATGTAGTACATCCAGTATATATTTGTTTTGGTTTTGTAAACAAAATTGCCACTTGTTACTAGAGGACATGAGTAGTATGTGGCTCGTTTTTCAGCTTTACTTTTAGGTTTATAATACAGCGACATTCTATCTTTATGTGGGCTAAAATAAGTATCGGCTTTTTGCATCTTTATCCAACTTTGAACGTTTGAGTTATCGTTTAAGACTCTGCAGTGATGTTCAATGTAAAAATATTTATGCACCTTGTACTTTTACACTTTTTATCATGTACAACTATACATTTATTGTGCCTTTTTTACATTCAGCACAAATTTGTGCAGCTTTTAAAATAAAAGGATGTTTCTTCTCCAAAATATGTTTACATACATACTTAATCCTGTGCTGCATCACTATCATTGTCACACTCCCTCAAACAAATACCACATAGTGGCCAACAGCCTACCAAAACGCATTAATGGAAATAAACATTGGTTGTCAATACAGGGCCCGCTCTCATTTATTCACATATTGCAACACATTTATTGCCAAAGAATACATCCTGCATTCTGATCGACGAGTCAGAAGCATTGACTGTAAAGTTCATGCTTCCGTCAGCTGATTATTCCTATTTGGGTTTGACACACTAGAAACGAAAGAGGTCGTGAACTGCCTCACCCTTCAAGTAAACATCATTCTTCAGCATTAAAGGAATTAGCAGATGACTGCTGCTCTGCAGCTTGAAAGGAGCAGGGGTGTGTGCCTCAGTGCCAGCAGCCGTTACAGGTGTGCCAGTTCCAGCAAGTTTGATGAGATGTGGATCTCCAAAATAACAGAGCCAATAAATCAGGAACAATCTTAACAAAGCCAGGTCCAGTCAGAGTTTTATTTGATTGTATGTATTACTATTATTTGATTCTTTTTGAAAAGAACTGAGAAATTTTGATTGAAGTTATCTCTGGAGCTACAAAATGACTTTGGATACAATTTATCTTCCTTTCAGTTCTATTCCCTAATACCTGTTCAATATATCAGCAAAACAAAGTATTCTGCTGAAACTTTATTGTGTCTATGTTATTAAAAACCAAATACTCCAGTAGGTAATGTCACAAAATGAGTTTGCTGGGTTTGCAATAACATGCATGCACAAACCAAATCCGTAAAGGGATCCCACTGACCTTTTTTGATCCCCATCTGTCAGTGAAGATAACACTGTCCCTCTGTTCATGAGATTTGTCCTGTCCTCATCTTCATCCTGCTGCTCTATCTTTTCTCTAAATACTACTTTCAGCAGAGTCTGACAATACAGGAAACGATAAACTAACAATACCTGTTCCCCTGCATGAGAGAGATTAAGATTTTAAGAAAAGAGCTGTGCTGCTTGCATGTAACACACCCTTGTTATGTGTGTGTTTGCATCAACAATGAAAAGGTTTTGGTGGCTGAAGACCAGGTGCAAGGCAAGATAAGAGAGTGTACCTAATAGATGCTGTGCTTAACTCTTTGATGCACAACCTTGGTCACAAGAGTTTTTATCAGTCAGTATTCCAGGTGTTCTTTACTTGTTTTGTTTTTGATCACCATACATCTTTACTGTAAGTTTTATTTTTTTTAATAGAAATCCTCTTGTATCACTACCCCTCTCATGCACAAATGAGTTCAAAAATGACCCATTTGTGCTAGTCCACATATTCAGTCTTTTCTATGTCTTTATTTAGCAGAAACCTTTTCTCAGATCTCCTAAAATATTGAATTATATCATTATCAAAACTAAGATATTTCAACAATACTTATACTTTGAATGCCCAATCATAAATACATGCACTGACAATACTGAACTACAGTCAGATCTGTTCCTCTGAGCATGCAAATTCATGCATGTTTAAAGCAAATGGAATTATATTGACTCTTCTTTCATATTTGTTTGCTCGTTGTCAGATCCTGGAAACACTGACAGTTCGACAGACGGAGATGCAGTTGTTCCTCGCAGATGGCTGCAAGGAGGCTTTGCTGGAGGAAAAAAGACGCTTCTGTTTTCTTGTTGACAAACACTGCTTGCTAACCTATCAGTTTGCTTCCTATCATGACAAGGTAAAATGCACAATTCAAAGTCTGTAGTTTTGCAATAAAGTCACAATTTTGACAAACATTTGTAAAGTGAAATTTTAAATGTTTTCTCTTTTGTGTGGCTGCTGGACAGACCAGAGACTTGCTGTCAACAAAGCTGAGCAGCTGGCAGGACCAGTGCAACGATGCCACCAACATGCCGCACAGCGTCTTATCCATGATTGATGAACTGCGCAAGCCGGTCGCCATTGCACCAATGCCTTCTCCCACCCCATCAAGACACAGCGTGGTATGACAGGACGAATGTGTAGGACAGTAAAACAATATCTCATCAGTGCAAAAATATAATTACACCTCTCAGTGAGGTGATTTCACCATGTGTGGGTGTACATATTAATGGTAGATGAAGTGACATAAATGCCATTATGTGTTGTGAAAAAACACATTTTTTATTAAACTGAATAATTGTGCTCGAGCAGCAGATGACAATGAGATTATGCAGCCATTTTAGTCAACACCTTCTTTGTCAAGTTGGTCAGAAAAAGGGCCTGAGTGCTTTAGTTGTTGTGTAGTTTATTGCCACAATGTTGATATTGATGCATAAAATCATTTGTTATAGCCTAAAAACAAGCATATTATTCCATTATTTACTTAATTTGTAATCCTATTGCTACAGTGCCCTGGAAATGGGTCTTTATGCTTTTACATAAATCCACCTGTAGCCCAATGACCTTGTCTACAATAGTGTTAGCCCTGCGTACTGACTTTATTCGATAACAGATACAAAAAATAAAGAAAATCATATTCCTATACTGGGGTAAATACTGAGCTAATGGATAATTGAAGGATTTTAGCCATTTCAAAATGTCAATTAATGATTAATAAATATTCAATTATGTATTGAATTTTCAGAATAACTTATTTAATGCTTATAATCAATTTTATTTATCAGATATATTCATAACAGTGCAACACTAAACATTTGATTAATTTTCTTCATTTTGTATTTGCAGAATATTTTTATTCATAACACTTTACATTTTTTCCCTTGACTTTCGTGGGAGTCATAGATGGAAAACAATACAAATTTTTATATCAATAGATTTAGAATCAATAACCTTGTATCTTGATGAGCAGTGTAAACATGTAATGTTCAAATGTGATTGCCAGAATGCAAAAGTATCATTCCAAACATCATTTTATATTTTGTTAATTTCTCAATATAGCTGAATTGTGTACTAGTTCTGTCTGAAATTAAACTTAGTTGTATGTTTAGTGTTTTATTCTGTTACAGCTGTGACTTTCTTGTTCAGCATTGGGGTCATTTTAATTTGTTGTACTTAGAAAATAAAAGTTGTTTCCTGCCTTCAAATGTCATGTTGATGATGTGGTTGATTCTCCCGTGGCAGAGTGCGCCTGTTCCCCCGGCTCCTCCTCTGAAGGCTCAAACCAGCCCTCTGGCTAATATGTTCAACCACCAAGACAACAACACAAACAGTGTGACTGCTCACACTCCTACCAAAAACAGCATAGGTAATATAGCTTTTAATGTTTAAATGTCTGTATTTTTTATTACTTTTTCAATATAGATGCTGTAATTTCCTTAAAGCAACTGTTATAGTTTTACTTGTTTTTGGATTGTTTTTTTGTTTTGTTTTTTTCAGTTTAACAAGCTTTTTACTTTTACAAGTAGTACATATCCCTTGTTAACTCTGCTTTTTTGTTGAACTAATTACTGTTAAACTTGATTCACTGGCTTTAAATGATGGACTTTGATGTTTAAGTAGTTTATGAGTTTAATAAGTGTTTTTACTTAACATTAGTGACCTGAAAAATTATTAAAAACAATTTCAACTCTGTTGAGTGCTAATTATCAACACCTGCTAAACGTACGCACCTTTAAGAGCTAATATAAGCTGCTTTTTATATTCCCGTATCTTCTCCATTTCTCACTATTCCATTCCTTTTTTTCACCAGACCATGAAAACGGCGACGAGAACAGTCTTGCCAGGTCTGTGTCCGTCGCCACTGGCCTCAACAGCATGGCGAGGAGGCCGCGGGTGCGCACCATCTTCCCCCATACTGCTGGCAACAACAGCACGCTGCTCAGCTTTGATGAGGGAGACATCATTATCCTGCTCATCCCTGACGAGAGAGATGGTTGGATGTACGGCGAAATGGAAAAGAGTGGAAAGTGAGTGTTAACAGCATGTTAGTTGTCTGTTTGGCTGATGTGAGTTACCAAATTGTTTTGGCGTAATCTAAAGCAGTATCCAAAACTGAAAGGTATGATTGAAAGGGTGTGACTCACCCAGGAACATCCTAAACGTTTCCAGGGATTCTATTAGCTCCCAACTCGACTTCTCAGGTTACATTTAAAGGCTTTCTTTTAATATTAATAAATATAAGGTTATGGCAATCACCACTCTCTGCTAGATGTGCTGTAAATGGGCATTGAAGAAGAGGTCATACCTCTAAAATAAGAGATTCGCAAGCAAAGCTTCTGATTTAATCTTGCGCTCATGATGTGTCATCATGAGCCATGATGAGGCACCTCTCACTCACTGTCATGATGAGCCACTCCTCTTTTTCTTCTAAAGGGTGGAGGAATATGGACGAATTTCCCTGCAATAATCCCAGAGCAAACATTTTCTGTAGGAGAGCAGGATTTCATGTCTTTAGTTCTCAAAATTTTTAATAACCAAGCAAGCAAAGATTTGCTCCGAGCAGAGAGGAGAGGTTTTGAGTGCAATCATTACAAGTTTGAGAAGAAAGATATGAAGTCTTACTTTCAAAATAAAAATGTATGCAAAAGTATTACAAGTTTTGAGAACAAAAGACATAACAATCCTGCTTTCAGACTGAAAATATGTGCTCTTGGATTTTCGCAGGAAAATTCCTCCACCCTTTAAAGTGGCCCACATTCATATCTGGTTCTAATCTGCATCCTAACTGATTCATGTAAAAGTAAACCAAGCAAAGTCACACCAAGTATCAGAATCCATCCTTAGTAATCAGATCTGGCTTTGTTTGTTTCTGCGTGCAGATGAGCATGATCGCATTACTGTTGTTCAACTTTCAAAATTCGAAGGTACAGAAAGAAAATCTGTCAGTTGAACTCATGGTTATATTCATCATGATGAAAGGTAGTTTATAAAATAATCCTGAATGATTGTTGCGTGTGTTCCCGCCCATCTTCAGAGTTGCCTGAACATGATCGGATCGCTCAAGATCGGTTTGAACTGGAGTTAGAGTCGTGCACCACCCTCAGTTGGCCTCTCGTCTTGTTGTTATTATCACCATGTGTATTTCCTTACATGATTTTGTTGACTTGTCTTTGCTGGTTCATCTGTAAACTTGATAGATGAGGGGTTAAGGTAAAGTTTGGCCTGAGGATGGGATGGACAGCAGAAGGTGTGTGAGGCTCAGGAATAAGTTCAGAACACCACCTGTTTGCCCCCACAGAAAATCAACAACAAAGCCTGTTCTCCCTCCAGATCTCTGACTCTTAAACAAAGATTTGTTATGAAAAGCATGTTTGAATTTTAATCACTTATTAGGCTTGATCTCAGTTACTATCATGGGAAATTACCTGAGAAAAGACGATCCTTCCAGAGTTGCTGTCAAATGTGAGGCTGCTGCCTCAAAGAAAACTTTGTTCTGGTTGCTGTTGGAGAGGCTCATCCAAAACGCACAAAGGCCTGAATGTTGTCTCTCATCATGTTTGTCAGACCAACATGTCACTCAAGATGTGTGTCATGCCTCACAGGAGGTGGTTGGCTGCTTCTTTATTTTCAGAATAAACCATTTCTGACAAATGTTTTCCACCATCTGATCTGGAGATGGCTAAAATCTCCAGATCAGCTGGACATGCTAGAGCTCCTAATGGATTAAGGAATGTGAAATTAATTAGAAACCTTCCTGCAGATACACATAGTCACATTTTTCTCATTGATGCCTGACTACTACTACTACTAATAATAATAATAATAATAATGTGTTGTGAGGTCACCCAACAGTGTTGGGTTTTTCCTCCATTGAGTGGAAACTGTTTTATAATTCTGGGACAAAATGTTTTCTTTCATTCACTTTCATGAAACACACCCGCTTTTCCTAGGTAGAGAATATATTTGTAAAGTAAGAGTGCTCACTTCATCATTTTTCTGTTTTGCAAACACTCTCACTTCCCCCCTCAAGATGAGAGTTTTCTTCTTTCTTTTTTTTTGTTTTCAGGGCAATCACGCTCTGCACCCCTTCTATTTTAGAGTGGGGTGACTCCTCAGCCTCTTTTTGTGTCTGAAACTGTTTCATCGTTATCTCTTTGTTGATTGAATATTGTTTATGTTTCATGTTTTTGATATATATGGGTTTTCTGCCTCTAAAATAGGATTGAAAACACTTTCTAATCATCTCAGCGGTGCTATTGGTATTGTGCTTATTTGTCTCCATTTGAAACAGTAAGCTGTTTCTCTGAATTTGTGTAGTTGCTAGTAGCAACACATGTCATGGAAGTGAATGTTTTATCAATTTTTTCTTTTTGTGAACACCAGACCATGAGTAAACATTAGCATTTATTCATGATTATGACTCAACAACACAGGATATCTTTGACACATAAAGATGCCCGTTCTCCAAACCTTACGCTTAAATATTAACCTTCATCCACAATGAGGGAGAGGCTAATTCACATGCTGATTAAACACAATCTTGCACAATGATGACACAATCACAAATAGACGAGCTCTGGGTTTTGTTGCTTATAACATTCAAGAGTTTTGTTAAAGCCACACTAATCTTGTTGGAGTCATCAGTAAGTTTTCTTTTTTAACTGGACAAATGAGATTTCTGATCTAAATCCAGGGTCATGTTCTATATTTTAAAAAAGAAGGTTAAATTTCAAAATGCTGCATCCTGTAACTATCCCTAGCGTTTCCCCTGGCTGCCTGTTTCAAGCTGATTGGATAATAAAGCTGTGGCTGCACTTTCTATAAACAGAAAGCTCATGTGGCCATTTTATTTACACCAGCCTTTTAAGCTTAAAGCTGACTATTTTGACCATCTTTTTCTCTTACTTCATTATTTGAGTTTATTTTAGTTTTTGTGTGGGAAGGAACAAATGCTTTTTGTGTCCTCCATTTGAAAAAAAAAAAAACATGACTTATTAAACCTATGGAAAATACATTTAGTTGATTACAAACGGTCTTGGTTTTGAAGGTTAATTTGTTGAAAGATTACAATAATTTATACAAGTGCTTCTTTGATCACTGTGTCTTTTGTTTCAAATAACAATAGAGGAAGTTCCTCAACAATGGCCCTGAGTGACATTTTGTATAACTGAGACAGTAGAGAATTCAGACATTATATATTTCTGAGTCGCCTTCCTTGTTTCTGTGTTTCAGGAGGGGCTGGTTCCCTTCATCTTACTGCCGCGCTGTCAATGAGCAGCTCGTGAATAACAACAGGTAAGGGGACTCTGCATTCCAGTCGGCACACACACACATACCGGCCGGTTTTATGTTGCAGCCGGCTGTATTGTTGGCCGCGTTTCCTCTAGTTACTCCTATTGAAGCTATAACCTTTCTAGTCCTGTGGGTTCTCACCTCTTGCTCAACTTTTGATTCCTATTTGTTTAACGTTACATTCTGGGAAAATGGATAAAAGAAAATGAGAAAGAAAGCTGGGCAGTTAATCCTTGACTGACCAACTTATTCACATATGTTGTTAGTTGGCCAGGCATTGTTTATATTAAGAACTTTTATATACTAACTCACTGTCATTATGAATATGATACTTTGAGATTTTAATGGTTTGGTTGAATTTGATTCACTTGATTTTGAAGCAAAGCCTCTTGATTGTAATCTACATAATCCATGTTGATAACTTTGCTTCCTGGTGGACTACTATGCCTGCTGATGGAGCTTCTTCCACTTAATGATAAATTAGATCAGTGGTGGTTCCTGGGTTCATCTTAGTCATTTTAAGTAATGTCCTTATATCGCATGTAGAAGATTTGGATTAGATGCTTTATCTCATGAGAAATGATTATTTTATCAGAATCCTGATCCCAAAATACAAAAATACTGCTTTTGGAAGGTCATTCCTATTGAAAAATGTGTGGACTAAGCTTAGCTGGTTTCATGCCAGGAAGCCAGCTAATTTAAATAAAGCTATAAGTGTGCAGTTTCTCTGGAAATGACTAACGGTCACGTATCCAAAACCCATGTAATTTATGATTGCATTGACGCTTCTGACCAGTTACCAATTTGATTTTATCCTCTTAATGGAAACCAAACACATATTGAAGCCACTTGGTAACAAAATTATCATCTCTTCTTGTCACATTTCTTCACCCGTTTCTCCACAGTGACACTACTGCCCCTCACCGCAGCAGGAGCGTGGTCAACCTCCACCATCAAGACACGGAGACCGACGAGGCCACCATGGTGCTTCCCCCGACGGACTACTACAACATCAAGAGCAAACCCTTGTCCACCGTAAGCGTCGCTACAAATAACCACCAGCACTCCCCCACGCCCTCGGCAGCATCCTCTACCTCCTCTGATCAGAACACGGTGAGTCAGCAGGCGGGAGCCTTGGTCGGCGGCCATTTCTCTGACATTTTCACAGCTCTTAGAGGAGTCCTTTGAAATGTCGAGTCTCGTCCAGTTAAGCCAAGAGTTTAAAAAAAGGAGAATGATACTGTGTACAGAACAATCTAATCTGCTGTGTTCTGCCAAAGCTTTCTCCTGTGCTGGCCCAGTTGGCTTTGTGAAGTTTATGTCTCACTTGATATCTGCAGCATCGTGGCTACAGTACCCTCAGCTGCACAGCCTTATCTTGACTGGTGATGAAGGTACTTGTATGTGTGTGTAGGTGATGTCAGATGAGTTTTATGTGTCTGACCAGGAAACATGAACACACACAGATATACTCAGTGTAGCATGGCGACACACAATCCAGTACTGGGATTCAGTAAGTTGTATACTGTTCAAATATTTTCAGCTTGCAAAGAGTACATATTTATTATTTTATTTCTGAGATTTTTTTTTATTCTCACTTTATTCGTGTGATAACTGCTTCTACTGCAGGTGTTAAATAAACTTTGTCACCTTCACTTCACAGTGAGCAATTGAAAAACCAAAAATCTCCACCTTCCTCAAGTTGCATTACTACAATTATTCACATTAGACCTGCACGAATCCGGTTTTTCAAGGAAAATTACAAGGGAGAACAGAGAGGGTCTGATGTCAGTCATTCATAACCTTCAGTTACTGAAATCATCAGTCTGCATGTAGATTAGCCTGTTCTGGTAAAAAGAAAGAAAGGAGGCAAAACGGGAAAGGGGACAGTGCCTTGCAAATAATAATACACCTGGAATAGTTCATTTTGTCACTTTACAACCACAAATTAAAATGTTTTTTTTGGTGGGGGTGGTTTGGGAGGGTGTATGTAATAGACCAGCACAAAATAGCTTTTTTTGTGAAGTGGAAAGGTGAAAATCAACATTTTATATATTTTGTTATATAAAATATAACTGCCCGCTCAACATTAGTGCTTTGGTGTGATGGTTACATGCTCAGGTTGTGGGTTTACTGTCTCATGTAGGCCCAAAAGGTTTGGTGTCATGAACTTCTTTCCTCTCCATACTGCAAACTGGACTTTATTTCAGGAATAGCTTTCTTCTTGCCATTCTTCCATAAGGACTAGATTTCAAGAGTGCATGACTGAGTGGTCCTCTCGACTGATTCTCAGATCTGATCTGTGGATCTTCTCAGCTCCTCTAGGTTTACAATGACTGCTTCTCTTCATGCTGCTCTGCTTGCTATCATTTACGTTCCCATATTATGGAATCAGAAGTACTGATGTGTCTGATTTGGTTCCTTGTTCTCTGGACAATCATCACAAAACAGCTGGGTCTATTGTTAGATTAAATTATACGCAGATGGACTTCATGTAATAATTATATTACCTCTGAAACATCAAATGAGATGTACAAGAGAAGATAATTAAGGCAGTGTATCCTTTGGACAGTTTATTTATCCACTGTGAGCGACCAATAGAAAAATACATTTTGCCCTTCTTTGTTTTGGTTACCAAGAACAGAAAACGCTGGGCCAGTTTCAGTCCATTTCTTGTTAATTCCTATTGTTTTAACATGGGTTTGTGAGTATTTTTTACAGAAATTAATTTTCAAGATACCATTTGAAACATCGTCGTGACTAATCCAGATCCATTTTCCTTTTAAAATAAAAATATCAGATCAATGGCTCTTTGACAGCCGTTTCTAGTTCCAGCACATTCACTTCTTTCCAAATGACCTTTCATTTGCATCGTATGCAAAGTCGCATATGATGCAAAGCTGTGGTTGTCTGTCTGCCAAAGCTTTTTAGTTTTTCTCAGCTGGACGGATGTAAATGCGTTTGCAGTACGACAGAGTCAAATGAGTCTTTATGATCACTTACGAACCATGTAAACATATAGTTTACTTCCTGCACAGCATCATGCTGCCGGTTAAGTGTTTCACACATCTTCCGACACTTTTAGATTTACATTCAGTGTACATCATTCCATAGTATATGAGAACTTTTTTTCTCATTTTATTTGCTTTGGTTATTTTATCCAGTGTTATCAACAGACCTATAATGCAGGGGACAAATGTTTTTTGTGGCCCACAAATTTCCATCACTGACTGGAAGTTATTTTGGAATTTCACCCGGATGAACCCAATACCTTTCTTCCATCTCTGCCACTCATTCCTCTTTCAGTTTTTCTCACAGCCATTTCAACATCTGACTCGCTTGTTCAGTCATCTTCATATTTCAATCTTTTTTCAGCCTAATACCTCTGCTACAGCACACACAGAGCCTGATTACGGAACAGACTTGTGTGGGAAAAGATCTCCAACTGTAGATTAGATTGTAAAACGCTTGTTTATGCCAAGTGGGTGGCTGTTGTGTTGGGAGAAAACTTGTAGCTGCAGCGATCTTGAATTTTCCTCACTTTTATAAGGTATTGTTTTCTAACAATTACCAATGTGTGCATTTTTTGTCACCTATAAGTGTAAAGTATTTGTTTTTCTTCTTTGCTGATCCTGAGCTGTTTTTTTTTTCTTTTTCTTTTTTTTGTCACATTCTTTCATCTCGTTTGAGACAAAAACTGATCCTGATCTGTATCAGTCTGATGCAAGTTGGTCCAGATCATGTGTGAAGAGAGAGCGGGGGTAGGAATGGGGAAGTGGGGGAGGTGAGATCACCCTGGAATACTCTTTCACCATGACAAAAAAAATGCAAACTCACTGTTTTTTTGAAGGGGACAGGTGGGTGGGGTGGTTGTTTTTTAAAAAAGATATTAGGTCACAGAAATCAATAGATAAGAAGAAAGAGCTACTCAAGTAATCAAGAGGAAAGACTGGAGGCAAACTTCTTTTTTGCATATGTAAGCTGTGAATTGGAGAAAACAGTATAGTTAAGAAAATGATCAGAGCCCTTGGAATTTTTATCCACTTCTGCCCTCTTGTGGACATTCTTGGCACTTCAGTCAACAACCTTTCAGATTGTTGACTGAAACCATAACTATTCGTTAAAATCCACCAACTACTTTTGCTCGGAACCGCACAATATTAGTATTCCAAAAGACTGCTTGGACAAATACTAGCTTATCACATGAGTACAAGCCAAGGCGTTCAAGTTTGGCTGTTTAATTCAGTAGAAGCACATATTTAGGAAGGCGTTAAGATGTAGCATCAAGAAGCAATAACAAATTTGTTGTCCCTTTTTGTGCAAACTTGCATGAAGGCTAACTTACAACGGAAAACATTTACGTTGGTCATTGTGGAGCAAAGTTGAATTCCACGAGTTGACTTGTGACGCAACAAAACATGCATTTGCATGCCAACATCAGACCCATTTGTCTATTGTTTTTATTCCTATAGAGTGTATTTACGGATTATTCTCTCACACAACTAAAACCCAAGTTATGTAACCTCAGAGGTTTAGCAGTAACAAAAAGTTTTCCTACTTTCCCCATTCTCCCTCAAAATAAACAAAACTGTTGTTTGAAGCTGATGTCAAAGTCCAACACAAAGTAGCACATGGTTGCCAAGTGGGAGGAAAAGGATGACCAGTCTTTAAAAAAATGTCACAAAATAAATGAATGAAAAGCAAAAATACACATTGGGATGGTTGGCAGTGTTAGCTTTCCTCCACTTATTGCTTTTTGTGTGATGCAGACGATTAACCTCTGACACCATCTGTGTTCAGACTATAGGCGGTTGGATGTTATCCTCTTGATTTTATTGGGCTAAGTGGGGCTTATTGCATACACACTTTGATTTCTCTTTCTGTTCAAGAATTTTCAAGACATTCGTCTTTCACATCTCTTAATAATTATCCACTATGTGTTGGTCTGGACAAAATCCCATTAAATTGATTGTGGTTGTAAAATGACAAAAGGTGGGAAGGTTTGAGAGAGAAAAGCTTTTTCAGTGGATCATAGAACCTAGCTTGCTACAGGAAACATTTGCATGTTCCATTGTGTAGCAGACTTGAATTTCTTGAAACTCCAGGTCTCACATGAGTCCGTGTGACGTGACAGTGTTTGCACGCTGATGTCAAACCCATTCATCCGTTCGTCCATTCTTGTGCAGTCCATGAAACTGTTTTCGGAATGTCAACTTGCCCATGTTTGGATCAGTGTAACTGTGACATCAGCACCAAGGGGTTGTCGTCATGTGCATTTTTATAATGTATTGTGGTTTTGTGCTTCATTGTGAACCTTTACATCAAGTTTGCCCAGACAATGACGTGTGTGTTTTGTCCACAGGTTGCAGAGTCTAATGGCACCTCGAGACCTCCGCCTGCTTTCCTCGCGTAGGTTGGAAAATAACGTTTGCTTTTGTTGCACTCAAACTTGTGTTAACCAGACATCTTGTCTGCTCTTCACAGTGGAGGAAATCCATTTGCCACAGTCAGGCTACGACCAACTGTGACTAACGATCGCTCTGCGCCCGTCATCTGATCTCCAACATTTCCATCCATATCTGAGCTCATCATTTGACCTCTGCCCTTCTGATCCAGCAGTTTCTCCTGGATCAGGGCGGAGGGGGGAAAAGGCCATTCGAATCCGCTACAAACTGATACGGTAAACTAAGTATTTTAGTACCTGAACTGATGTTTGTCTATTTATAATATATACATTTTCTATGTCTACATTTTAGTCGGTCTGTGCGTGTCGGTGAGATTTAAATGAACACATCTGAACTTGCACTTGCGACATAGATGAATTAAGAACTGCTCAAAGAGAATCTTGCGACATATTTATGCCGTTGATGTTGCTTGTCTGACTGTTAGGAACCATTCTGTGGTTAGAGAACAATACTGTGGAGGACTACTACATTTCAGGCTGGAATCTATAAACTGTCGAAAATCACTAGACATGTTTTGAGGAGAAAGATTGTGTAAAAATGTCCTAAAAGGCACAAAGATTTGCTTTGGTCCTCCTGTACATTTAACTGATTCTGTTATTCAATGCCTGTTGGACCTTTTTTTTTTTTTTGTAACGTGGACACTTGTGCCTTAATACCACATACATACTGTAAAGTGTATCTTACCTGTACTTTATCCCAGCTGTGCATTTCTGATACAATCAGATGGTAAAACTACATGTATGCTTTTCCATCACTCATCACATCCTTCTTATAATTTGCTATATAATAAATAAAGATTTATTTCTTCAGTTTGGTGTTTTTATTTCCAGAAGTTTTCTGAAATACTCCACAGTTCTATATGTGGTCACAGTACATCGGCTTTTTAAGTAACAGAAATGGTGCCGTTTCTAATTATTGGATTTTCTAAGGATTACAATATTTCTGTGTGCAAGTAAAACAGAAGTTTGTGGTTTAAATGTGAAGTTAAAGGGGTTTGAATAACATTGCAAGAAAAAAAAGTCAAGACACAAATAGCATTACTTTTTAATTACAGTAACTCATATAAAAAGTAAGAACCTCAATCACAAGAGCGTGCTTAGTGTGTTTTCTAACGCCATTTCTTTTTTCTCCATACCAATAATTTCAATTTTATTTCTTATTCCGACATGAACACATTTTAAGGATCCTGCAGCGGAGGAAGACATGGACAGGGACATTCTCAGCTGATTGTCTGGCTGGGAGGAAAGTTGATTTGTCACAGAAATATGGAGGTGAAACTCTGAGGATATAAGATACTTCAGGCTTCACTCAATCCTCCAGATTGAAAGAGGAGCTTGCGGTTTAACAAAAACAGTCCTCTCAAAGTAAATCCAAAGTCAAATCATAAGTTCGTAAAAGTCGAGGGCATGTCAGATTGTGTGTACCTGAGGTCTGCATTGGCCCTGGAGAAACTCAACCCAGCAGAATCATCATTGGACAAACTGTCAGTGCAAAATATGGCCCCAAGAAATGAAAAAAAAAAAAAAAACAGTCAAAATGCTTTGTCAGGCATAAGTCCACTGTTTGAGCCGGAGAAGGTAATGTCCATAAGGTGATCCTTTTTTTTTTCTTCTTTAAATCACTTCATTATCTCAATACCTACGTGGGACACACTGAACCATACATACATTTGAAACAAAAAAAGCAGAGTACAAAGTTAACTAAAATATGGCAGAGGCAAGCAAATAAAGAAAAATATCAAGACAAAAACAAAAAGTTTAATCGGCTTCAACTATAAAAATAACGAATCTGTTCAGATCCCTTAAACATCTACAAGAAAAAAAAACTGATGGCATCTGATTATTGTGTATGTAGCAAAGGCACTGACAACAGCTGGAAACTTGTGATAATACATCCTAAACCTGCAGAAGAGAAACAGATTTCATTGACTGTAATTCATTTTGTAATCTATCCTTTTTATATATATCTATATATATATAAACTATGTATGCGTGTGAATGAAGAAGTGTGTCAAAGAGCTGCAGTTTGGTCCCTCTAGCCAAAGGTGGCGCCACAGTTGGGACACCTCCTCTGACGCAGAGCAAAGCAGAAGAGGATGCCCAGAGGGAAGAAGAAGATGGCACACAGGATCCCCAGGCAGGTGAAGTCGTCCTCGAGGACTCCGACCCTGTGGAAGAGATGAGTTTATGGCTTCTGGTGTTTTGAAAGGAAACGGTTTCAGCGATCTATGCGATCCTGTGGAACAGGAGGCAGCAAACTTTACAACTCAGTGAGTCAAAGTTTTGACTCAACATCTTAATTTACAAGAGAGACTTGTTTTGATTTTTTTAGATATTATTTCATTTTCTATTCCTAATTTATTGAAATAAAATGCAGGGGAAAATAATTTCCTGCCATTCTTCTTTGTAAGTTATATTCATATACTGTGCTAAAAACCGAGTAAGATTTATGTTTGGTTTTTGTTACTTTTATTAGGTTTGCCCAAAAAGTCTTAGAATCTGACAATAGATGCCAAATTTGTAAAGAAAAGAAACATGAATTTAGCAGCAGAGTTGGGTATGCAAGTTGCAGATGTTAAAAACTTGTAAAAATAAAACATCTCGTTTATTACATATCTGTTCCTAATCAGCTTTGACCCAGAGTGACATAAAAAAAAGAAAAACATCTTATGACTGCAACAGAACAACCACAGTGGCCTGAGGCCTTTGGGAGGAATTAAAAGACAGGAAGTGAAAGGCCGAGTTTAAAAAGGTCCAACTTATAAACATAAGGCTGTTTTAACGAGAATAAAACTTTGCCTCAAGCTCACTATGAATTTAAGGATTTGTTTTGACGTTCCACTAATTCTACTTTGGCAAGCTAAATAACTCGAGCTCACTCAGGTTGGATAGAGAGCTTCTCTGCACATCAGTTTTAAGAAGTCTTGCCACAGCTGGATTAGCTTTCACTGACCTATTGTTTTGATCTGAAGTGTCCTATTGTAGCTCTGGATGCATGTTAAGGGTCTTTCTTGAGCTGCAAACGGATTTTCCTCTGACCGGCTCCTGGCTATGTGACCACTGGCTGTCAATGGCAAAAACACCAACTAACATCAGAGGAAGCTTTTCAGGATTATAAATTGTACCTACTATAAATCTGACTTCTCAGATTTATAGTTTAAAGTTATAATTATATTTATAGTTTATAGTTATAAATTGTACCTACTATAAATCTGACTTCTCAGATTTATAGTAGGTACAATTTATAATCCTACCAAGTAAAAACGTTGCTTCGAGTTGTTTAGAATTAAACTACTGCTGTGTTAAGAAAGTAACGTATGTTTGGTCTATCGTTACATCACTCCGTTTCCTCCAGTGCAATCAAGTGTTTGCACAAGGTATTTGTAACGCTAATGTCAGAAAGAAGAACTGTGACTGATGATAATTGAATAGGAAAAACGAAGCTCCACTCTAATTTTAGTTACATTAGAATGCAGAGTTTCAGTCGCAGCCAAATTGGAAGGATAGAGAGCAAATGCTGCATGTTTCCCAGAACAAACTGATTACATTATGAACCAAAGGAAGCATCCAATGTGTCAGTAAGTAATATGAACTACCACCTGTTTGGTTTGTTCCAGAAAAATTAATACCACCTTAGTCATTGTTCCATTTTACTTTCCAGACTGTGTGACTTGAACCCTTTGGCCTGTCACATGTCCGTGGGGCGAAGTCAGCTGACTGACAGGACATTGACTCACCACAGTGAAACTCCCAAAACTGAAAGTCATACTCACTCATCTTATCTACACTGATAGCTTCCCGATAGGTGAAACAGCAATAAAAAAATAAACACAAAACTCAGTGTGGCATGACGCTCTGTGACGTTCTGCATGAAGAATGGCTAGTTCTGAGTTTCAGACACTTTGTTTCTTGTGGGTCCTCACCTGCAAGCTGGGCAGCCTCCCACCACCACTACAGAGGGCTGGATGATGGCATAGGTCGATGTGTAGGGTTGCTGGGAAACAGCAGGGCCCATCTGAGCCGGTGGGTATCCTGGAAGGAACCCAAACAAAATGCGTCATGTTATCATTTTGTATCGACATGAATCAAATTAAAATAAATAAGAGAATCTGGACTCAGATCTGAAATACAGAATTCGCTTGACATTTATATATATTATTTATAAATACATTTTATATGTACATATTTATATATACATTTACATATATGCGTTACTATAAATGGGCCAATTTTTAAAAAAGTTATTCTAAAGGTTTAATCACCTATATATTTTTTTGCAGGGGTGGAAGTAGTGATTTTAATTAATTTTAGGATCATCCCCATTTTATGTCGCAGCATATCTTTTAAACAATCTAATTTTAAATCAACCAAAACCAACAAAATACAAACTGTTGGATGACGAGTTCTTAATTCTGACGCATTTCATGAATAAGAAAAATAAATTCAGATTTTTGTTACTAGACCTGCAAATGACCATATTTTGACACATGCCTATTTGTCAGCTCCTTTTCCTTTTCAAAACACATTATTATAAAGATGCCATTTAAAAAGGGGGCAAATATTAAATTCATGCTACTTCTTTATAAATTTCATAACATAATGTAGAGTTGGGTCCTATTCATAACCTTGTCAAATTTAAGGTGAAAATAATATTTTAATTTGACTAACACGTTTCTATCGTTTCTGACCATTTGTATGCAGGTCAGATTGTGCAACTGAGAACTTTTGACACTTTAATCAGCACACTTGCTGTGCTGATTAAAGTTGACACAGACTGGTTTAATCTACTAAAAAAGGAGGGATAGGGGGAAAAAAAACAAAAACAGGAAACTTCATGCCATTACAAGAACCAGGAGTTTGTTTTTTTTTTTGTTAACTTCCTGCATTGCCTGACATACAATCACAGTCAGGCAATGGCTTCCTGCCCCGCTTTAAACTAACATTTAGAAAAACAATCGCACTAAACATAATGCGTTTTTTTTCCCCCTAAGATGAGTAAATGTCATTTAATAGCAAAGTTTGCTCATTTTTAATTTGCTCTAATAATTAGCATCACAGTCATTTCTGTTCACATACTGCGCATGCGAAACTTTGAATCGCCTTGGTAACGATCTCTTCAAAGGCCACTTAAAAACTCGGTTAAACAAAACGTCTTGGAGTGGAAATAAAGCCTGCTGTGGACGCGGGCAGTAGTTAAAGTCGCCGTCCCTCCTGGAGAGCCAACCTTCTGGTTAGTGAGTGGAATAAACAGTGGTACTTGCCCGGGCCATCCGGGTAGTGGTATGGCGGCGGGGCCGCAGCGGGGATGGCTCCGTAGCCGTGAGGCTGCTGCGGCGGGCCGTACTCGTGCGCCCCCGGGACGGTGTTGTAGGCGGGAGGTCTGTCCTGAAGGAGAGGCTTGTTGTCCACCATCTCACCCGAAGGAGCGCGTGTCCCTTATCTCGTCTTTTTTTTTTTTTTTTTTATCTTGCTCCTTAAGTGAACAAAATAGGATTAACAAAAATAATTTGGACTATTCGGCTTTTTGTCAACCAAAACGCTGTGCGCTGCTGGCCGAGGCTTCGTCGCGGAAAAAGAACAAAGAAAATACGCTGCGCAAAAATGAAACTTCGTCTCTCTCCATGCGCCAACTTTGTCTGAAGCGACGCAACAACCCCCGAATCTTCACCGAATGTCCTCCGTTTCAACGGGAATGGTCCGAGTTGTTATGGAAATGGCTAACTTAATTCCATCTCGGGGTTTGAAGTTGGTCCTTCGGTGCCCAAAAAGCAGCTGCGCACCATCGTAACACATAAAAACTCAGCTAGAAG